ATTTTTTAAAATTTTTTATTAGTGAATCACCATGAGGTACAGTTACAGACTTACAAACTTTCATGCTTGTATTTCAGTCATACAATGCTGAGTACCCATCCCTCCACCTGTGCCCATTCTCCACCACCAGTGATCCCAGTATCCCTTTCAACCCCCACACCTCATTCTCCCCACCCCACCCCACCCCACCTCTGTGGCAGGGCATTCCTTTTTTTCTATCTCTAATTTTGGGTGTTGTGGTTTGCAATAGAGGTATTGAGTGGCCATCGTGTTTGATCTAGGCCCTACTTTCATCACACATCTCCCATCCCAAGCAGGTCTTCCAACCACACTTTTATTTTGATTATTTTGAAAGGGAGAATTATAGAATGATCTTTATTGTGTGTGGGATTTAGAGACACACAGTGAAGTAATAACAAAGGCCAAAGAACTGGGGTTAGTCATAGAATCAAGTTGGGGAGGGGTTTGAATGTAAGGGGTGCTTGGGACTTGGTAGAGGGAAGTGGGTATTCTGGTAGTGTTGAAATGAAATATGTATGAAATTATCATTGATGGTACTGTAAACTCCAGCATTTAAATAACGATTGAAAATAAACAAACACTGTCCTCCTGTTTTTCATTGACTTGTTTGAGCGGGCCCAATAACGTCTCCATTTTTTGAGACTTGTTGTTACTTTGTTTGGCATATTGACAGGTAGCTTGCCAGGTTTTGCCACGCAGGCGAGATACTCTTGGTAGCTTGCTCGGCTCTCCAAGAGGGGGGTAGGAATCAAACCCGGCTAGGCACAAGGCAACTGCCCTACCGCTGTGCTATCGCTCCAGCCCAATAACGATTAAAAAATTAAAATAAATAAATAATATAAAAATTTTTTTGAAAGAATAAAGTTGGAGATGACATTTAGAACCTATACTAATGTGTTTTATGTAAAAAGTTCGATTCCTTTTTAATTAAAGCACTGTGATTTACAGTTATTACTAGTCGGGTTTTAGATATACGATGTTCAGGATTCCCACATCAGAGTCAACTTGCATCCACCCATGTTCCCATACCCCACCTCAGCCCCCAACCCTGCCCTTTTTACAGACACGTTTCTTTAGTCCGGTTGTTAAAGTTTGGGTCTCATGATTTTGGTGTTGCTGACTCTGTGGTCTGGATATTTAGCTCTATTATTCCTTAACTCCACCGATGTGCCTGAATCCCCTTGTCTCCTGTCCCCTGTCGCTTCTCATCTGTTTCTACTTTGCCTCCAATCCATTCTATTTCTTTTATTTTTTTTCTTAAATTTTTATTAGTGAAACACCATGAGGTACAGTTGTAGACTTACAAATTTTTGTGCTTGGGTTTCAGTTATACAATGATCGAATACCCATCCCTCCACCAGTGCCCATTCTCCACCCCCACCAGTCCCAGTATCCCTCCCTCCCCCCATCCCCCCATCCCCCCCTACCTCTGTGGCAGGGCATTCCCTTTTGTTATCTTTCTCCTTTTGAGTGCTGTGGTTTGCAAAAGAGACATTGAGTGGCAATCTTGTTCAGTCTATAGTCTACTCTCATCACGCATTTCCCATCCTGAGAGGAACCTCCCAACAAGGGGTGATCCTTTTAGAACCAAGAGTCTTGTCTACTTGCAAAGATAATGGACTGCTTTCTCCTAGAAATGTTAGCATTTTGTATATAACAAAGAATATAATTATTGATACAGGGATATTATCCACCATATTGGCTTATTGTCCATTTGGTGAATTGCTGCTTTTTGTGGGAAGAGAGAATTCTGTTCATTATTTCCCTTGTTGATATTTTTAAGTATTTCTGATACCATTTGGAGCACTTTTCTCCCTTCATTAAATAGCCTTGAGTCAATCCCCTACTAGTATATTTATGACTTCTTTCTATCCATTATAGGTGTGGTTATCTTTTCTGTAAAATCATGTTTAATATGTTGGGTTTTGTATTTTTTTAATAGAATAGAATCATTTTCTCTTCTTTTCTCTTTGGATATGACTTTTGGGCCACATCCTGCTATACTCGGAGGCAGCTCCCTGCAGTGCTTAAGGGACTGTGTGGTGCTTGAGATCTAACCTGGGCCTCCTGCATGCAAAGTGTACACTTGGACCATTAAACTATCTCTCCAGTCTCTGGTTTGCTTTTCTGTTTGTCTGCTTGTTTCTACTTGGTTTGTGTTTTGAGACCACACCCAACAGTGTTCAGGGCTTACTCAGGGATCGTTCCCGGCAAGGCTCAGGGGAACATATGGGGTGCCAGCAAGCAAACCTGACTGACTGCATGCTCGACAAACGCTGTACCCCCTGTACTATCTCTCTAGCCCAGGTGTGTGTTTTTTAGCCTTGTAATTTTTACCTTATCATCTTTTATTAGTTAATATTGATGAAATATTTTGTATTTAGCTAATAAATTTTATTATCCCATGTAATAATTTTTTATCACTTAGAAATGTTTGTTTAAAAAGAATTTTGGGGTCAGAGGATAGTACAGTGGGTGAGGCATCTTCTTAGCACATGACTGACCTGGATTTGATCCCTGGCAACTCATACGGCTCCCTGAGCCCCAGGTATGCTCAAAGAAACTGGCATTTCAAATGATAAAGATTGAAATAAAATTAGAGAGACAGGGCATATATGAAAAATAAGTGATGCTGTTGATTTACTTAAGAGATAATTTTGTATTTGAAAAAGTTTAGGTCATTTTTAGGCTTCCACAATTGCTAATCTTAGTCTTTGTAGACATTCCAAAGTGCCCATTCCAAAGTGAACCTGCAGACCACAAGATCAGGAGATCAGGTCCTACCTTCTTGTTCAAAACTTAATATAGTGAAACAAAAGTACAATACAATAGTATCATTCACTTTTAAGTTTATTACAACTTAAACATTATTCTATTTTTCCCATGTTGGAGAAGCCCGTGTTCTCTCTAGAATGTGTATATATATATCTCTTTGTCTTCCCTCCCACTTCTCTAAGTAAATTTCTTAAAATAAAATGGTTTCAATTCACAAAGATAATTTTTATAACACATTGTTCTGATGGGAATCACTTAAGCTCTTAGGTGTGTTACATAGTCAAAAGCCTCATATATATTATAATCCAGCATGGTGATTGAGGAGGAATCTAAGAGGTCTTTAATGAATGGTGAATTTTCCTATACATTGCAAATGCTTAAGGCATTCATGAGCCTAATTTCCCTACAAATGTGCCTAGCAATATAGTACCCCCAAGTCCTCAAGGTGGCATAAAGTCATGAAAAATAAATGCAATGTAAGTAGAATCATTTTATTTTTTTGGCTTTTTGGGTCACACCCGTCGATGCTCAGGGGTTCCTCCTGGCTCTGCACTCAGGAATTACTCCTGGAGGTGCTCAGGGGACCATATGGGATGCTGGGAATCAAACTCGGGTCAGCCGCGTACAAGGCAAATGCCCTACCCACTGTGCTATTGCTCCAGCCCCAATATAAGTAGATTCTTAGCAGGTAAACTTTTCTTTAGAATTTTTAACATGGATGGTTCAACAGGTGAAAGATCAACTCATCTTAGCAAAATATTTACTTCATTAGTGTTGCTTTTGACTGTTACTCGAAGGATAATGCAGGCAACCACCAGGGAAAATGTTTATTAGAGTATCCAAAGAATATTTTTGTAGATGGGAAATATAAGTGTCAAGTAAACAGAGAGTAGGAATATAAATAGCCATGTCAAAGATTCAAGTGCTTTTTCCATCACTATTAGGCTAGCAAATAACAACAAATTGCTCTATCTGTTTCTATACACTAGAAACTATAAAAAAGGATATTCTTTGAAAGACTGTTAAAGCAATTAATATAGGATACTTAAAATTGTTGCTTATTAAGGCTAGCTGCCTTAAATGTTATTAGATTCTACACCTTAAAACCTAATAAGCAATAAAACAGGAAGCAGGAAATTCATAATGATGCAACATTTCAGGGATTACAGTAGTTTAATACATTTATAAATGCATGATTTCATTTTATCTATAATTACATTTTAATAGTTCATAAATAATACCGATATTTAATATTCTACACTGTAAGGCTTGAAGCATCTTTCCTGAGAAAATTTTCAGAGTTACAAAGCAGAGAAGATGATCAAGACCTAAAGGTAATTTACTCTTTGGAATGACTAAAGTATCCCATATTGATTTACTTGAAATGTGTTTCAATTCCTGAGTATATGTATATATCTCTACAAGTCAGAGTGTGGTGCTAGTCATAGCAACCACAAAATCTACCTTCAGTGAAGGCCTGTATCAGAATTTAGTACCAAAGCCCTCATCATATAATCAAAATTTTATGTACTCAAATCTTTCTGGCTACAGCTAGCAGCTGCTGTTTCTTTGAACCCGTGTGTGTGTTTGTGTGTGTGTTTGTGTGTGTAATTCATGGAAATATTAGTTAACAATATTGCACTATTCAATATTTGACTTTAGAGAACTGAATATTGAAAAGAAAATCAGTCACTAAGGCAGAGTTGCAAAGTTGATGGTGTGAATTTATGCAGAGTTGCTTCTAGCTTCAAGTTTTCATCTCCAGAACAAGTGAAGACCCAGGGATTCCTAAGGTGGAGTGAGGTAGACAGGAATCTATAAACTTAAACTGTTTTGTGGGTTGGGAAAATAGCAAAGGAACTACTTTTACATGACTCATAAAGAGTGACTCTCACCAATAATGTGCCAGGCAATGTATTTATTATGATAAAGCATTTCTTATTATCCAGAGGTCAATTTTAAAATATACCATTTATTCATACATATATACAGTTCTTTTATATGTATATATGTTCTTTTATATGTATATACATAATAAAAAAAACCACTATCAAAAAGTCAAAGTTGGTAATGCTAAACCAGTCTTTTAAGCAAAATATACAAAGAAACATCAGTGTTTTTTAAGTTGAAGCAAAATCCATCTTCCATCGTGAGAAAATGCCTGATTTCTTCATCCATTTAAACATTTTGGAAGGAATTTTTCTTTGAATATGTATTCATCTGATGTTTGGTATTGGGGTTTGGAGCCACATTCAACAGTGCTCAGGGCCACTCCTGACTCTGTGCTCAGGAATCATTCCTGGCAGTGCTCAGGGGACCATATGAGATGCTGGAGATGGAATCTGGGTTGGTTGTGTGCAATGCAAATGACCTATCCAACGGTCTTATCACTCTATCCTCTCATCTTGTTATTTTGAATGATATCTCCCTGAAAAACTATTTATATATAATAATTCTGATTAAATACTGGCATTGACCCATTTTGACATACAAGTTTAGCCTGTTTCGAGGAATAAATAAGATGCACAGAATCTTTCTCATTCATATCTTCAGCCAGTCAGTTCATTTCCGTAGCCTAATCATCATCGAATAGGGAGAAGTACCTTCAGTCTTCAATTCACTGTGGAAAAAACCATGCAATTATCAAAACCCAGCATCACTGCTATCTCTTCATCCACCCAACAGACACAGTAGAATCACATGTGGAAACACTAAACTTGCAAATTCAGCTAGCGATCCTGAGACAAGAATGCAGAGAAGCCGTAGAGTATGTGCCTGTGTTTTGCCATTCCACTCAGTGAAGAGGTGCGCACATACAACAGAGACATGGGATACAAACCACCTATTCCCTCAGGATGTCTTCATTCCCTGGGTTTCTCAGAGCCCGAACTCTCCCTCTCACTGTGTATGCTTCTCGTGTTTAAAATTATGAAATTAAAATTCTAGATGTGTGCATACACAGGAATATCTATCTATATGTACATATATATACACACATATTAAACAACAATGACAACATACACATATACTCATTGAGAAATGTGTATATGTATGTATACATACGTGTGTATATATGTGTGTATACATATACACATATATGTATATGTGTGTATATATCACGAGCACGATCAAAATCGTGCTGTAGATCATTGATTTCCTCGAGCAGGCACCAGTAACATCTCCTTCATCCTAGCTCTTGAGATTTTAGAAAGCGCCATATTCACGGCTCTTTCAGGGTCAGGAGAATGAGACCCATCATTGTTACTGGTTTTTGGCATTTGAGTATGCCATGGGGAGTTTGCCAGACTCTGCGGTGCGGGCAGGATGTTTTCGGTAGCCTGCAGAGTTCTCCAGAGTAAGAACTAGATAATAAGATGTCACGCGGCCGCAGATGTGGTTGCATGCTTCCGGGAGCTGGGTTTTATAGTTTCTGGGTCCTGGCCGTTGATAGGATTACCTGGTGCCGGGGGCAGTTGGTGAGTGTGACGCCTACCTACTGGAATATGGGGGATCTGGGTGGAGGAAGCCCAGTCCCGATCCAAGCAGGCTTGGAGATCTCAGCCCCGGAACCTGCATGCCTGTGTTCCTCTGCTAGCTCCTTCATGTGTGTGGAGAGTGGTCTAAGCATGGCTGTGGCTGGTTCTGGAGGTCTTTGGCTGCTGGAGCTCTGCTTGGGGCAGGGAGGAAAACTCAACCCACCCCCCACCAAGAGGCCCCGGTGAGGACAGCCAGGCACGGGGGCAGGAGACTCTGCGCTGTTCTCTTCTGGGAGCTGGGTTTTATAATCTCTGGGTCTTGGCCATTGATGGGATTACCTGGCGCCGGGGGCAGTTGGTGGGTGTGTATATATGTGTGTATATATGTAAAAAGGTAAAGGCCCTCCCGTTGATCGTCGATTTGCTCGAGCGGGCCCAGTAACGTCTCCATTGGAGACTTTGTTGTTACTGTGTCTGGCATATTGAATACTCTCGGTAGCTTGCCGGGCTCTCCGAGAGGGGTGGAGGAATCGAACTCGGGTCAGCCATGTTGGCCGCGTGTAAGGCGAACGCCCTACCCGCTGTGCTATCGCTCCACCCAAGTAAGTAAAGGCCCTCCCGTTGATCGTCGATTTGCTCGAGCGGGCCCAGTAACGTCTCCATCGGAGACTTTGTTGTTACTGTGTCTGGCATATCGAATACTCTCGGTAGCTTGCCGGGCTCTCCGAGAGGGGCGGAGGAATCGAACTCGGGTCAGCCATGTTGGCTGCGTGCAAGGCAGACGCCCTACCCGCTGTGCTATCGCTCCAGCCCGTGTATATATGTATATACACATATACATATGTATGTATATGTGTATATATACATACATATACATATGTCTCAGTGTGAGTATATGTGTATGTTGTTTTCATTGTTGTCTAATAATGTTCTAATCTTTGGCATGCCACTTCTGATCAACTGAAAATATAGCTAATGTTCTAGTTCACAAGAAAAAAAATTTCCTACTATGAATACAGAGCTATATGTTATGGGTAACTTAAAGATTTGTCAAGGTTAATTTTTAATGTACATTTTTCACAGTAATGGGGACTTTTACATTCTAATGTCTCCTAGAATTATATGCCATTGTATAGCAGTGAGTCCAAATGTATTAAATCATACCATAACTCACATTCTCAAAACAGTCAATAGGTCAAATTTCATTTTCAAACATGAAATTTGATACCATTATATCAATACATCCATAAAGATCATGTTCTGAAAGCCATATTTTCAAGTGTTTCAGTATTTAAATTAAGAAATTTCTTCATTTTATTTCCCCAAGTTACTGGGAGGAATAACAGGCTTTAAAACTAGTAGAGTTTGTACTGTTAATTAATGGCTGCTAAAAAATTAAGAAATAGTACCATGCATAAGGTACTTGCCCTGCACATAATAAATATGAATTTCAACTCCTATCACCGACAGGAGTGATCTCTGAGCACAGATCCAGGAGTATTCCTTGAGCACAACCAGGTATGGCCCCCAAATTAAACAAATTTAAAAAATTGGCCTCAGAAGCCATTCTTTCCAACACAAACCGGTCAATCTCAGCATTTGATGCTGCAGTAGTTCTATGATGGCACAACTCTTCTACGCTCTGTTTATACTTCATTTCCTCCTGATTCAAAAAGAATGAGGTTGGAGGAGGTCTAGAGCAATGATACCTGGTTAGGGACCAAAAAAGTATGACAGGGTCCAGAGATACAGTACAGCGAGTAAAGTGATTGCCTTGTATGCAGCCAAACAGATCTCTATCCCTAGAACCTTACATAGTCCCTCAAGCCTGCCAAGAGTAAGCCCTGGCCACAACCAAATGTGGCCACAACACAATGACAAAAACAGTAAGACCTCCCTGCCAACACTTACAAAGTCATGATGACTTACCATGATAAGTAAGTAAAATTAAACATTTACTTTATTTACCTTGTATTTTTTCTAAACTATCACCATTTCACTTCTTTTTATTTTTTAATACTTCTGGGGTTTAATTTCTCTCCTTGATTAAAATTTAGAGGTCCAGTGGCTCCCAAATTAACAATTGATATCTGAAGGTCCAAAGGTACTAGGAGACTTATTCCTAATAGTTGCATCTTAGTCTCTGTCTCTTTGTAGCATTACAAAATAAAGCACTCTTGCAAGGAATGTTGAAGAAGATGAATTTATGGATATTGCTTAATCATAGTGGGCCTGATTCTCTACCTCAGGCACTGTGCCGAAAACAGTTCCAGAAAATGGTTTCTGCTCTAGCGGGACTATACAGGAAAATTAAAAAGCTTCTGGAACAGTAAGTTTTTAATCACTTTTCAAATGATTCGTGTAATTACAGACTATGTTTTTTAAAGTGTTCATTTTATAGAGTATTATGGAAATCAGATTTGTGTTCGGGACCTTCATTTCTAATGAAATGTCACTTCAAATTCTGCCAACATTAAAATGTGACTTTCATGGTTTCAACTATCATTTCTACTGCTTTAGTGAGCCATTATCAATGCTTGGTTCATTCATTATTAGGTATTTATTGAGGACACTTGTCCTTAGTAGTGCAGGAAATAAAGTGAAACTCAAGGAACTATTCCTGTTCTCTTGACATTTATAATATATTTGATTTGAGATACAGATATGAAAGTTCAAATAAATATAATTTATGAGTTAAATGCCCCTAATGGCACAGAAAATGTGAGCAATAAAAGAACAAGAACTCTAGAGATTATCTCTACTGTTTGGAGAAAGCATTGAAGCCAAGATCAGGTTTGCTTTATTGCATTACTGAAGAACAGAGGTAAAAATTCATGCCTTAACTTGGTTAGTAAGGTGTGTTTGATTCTGAAGATTTGATGGTGGACAGGATCATGCAATTCCTATTCTTATCAAACTGAGAGACAATAAACAAATGATGACCTAAATATTCATCTCACTGCTTCAAGTGGAATACATGTTCACATTTCTGGAAGCTCAACAAGAACATGAAGGCAGAGGGTGAGGTAAAAGCACCTTACCTAGTAGAGACAGCCTTCGACACTTTTGTTTTAGGAGTTTCACACCAAAGTGCCACCTTGGATTTCAGTTCTTTATTCTAAATTTGAAAAAAAATGCAGATATCACTTAGCTAGTAATTGATTAATCACATTCTTAATGCTTCTGATCGGCCCACTTCCTGCACCAATTCTAGGCATGTTTGTTGTTCCAGTTATTCTGCTAGGACATAGAATATAGTCAGGTGAGGATTACTATTATTTCTAAAATTAAATACACACTTAAGACATGCATAATCAGCCAAGGAATTAATTTGCTTTAGTTTTTTGAGTTTATTAATTTAATTAATGTCCTAATGATAAACTTTTTCTAGAAACAAGAGTTAATTATAAAGATCTAGCATATGGCAAGACTTTTGCCAGAAACTTTCTATACATCCTTTTCTTTGCTAAGAATTCAACTCTGTGCAGTAACTGATGTATATTAAAGAAACAAAGCTGCCAAAACCTCAAATCACTTAATTGTCTCAGATACCTCACAGGCAACATTGATATAGATGTGCAGTTTTTACAGGACTCCAGAGTTCAGGGTCTTTTCACTGCAAGATGTTCTTCAGTCACAGGAATTAGCCCAGGCTACTTATATTTTATAAATAAGTAAATGGTAAGCCCCAGAGGTTCAATGATTTCCAGAGGTTCCAAAAAAGTGACAGGGGAAAGAAAATTATTATGAAATTTGTCAACAATCTACCCAACCACTGACACACTTACATACACACTTACATAGTGATGCAGTTTCTGCCATGACAATAGAACAAAGCCAAGGGTAGAAAGAATGGGATAAAGGACAGGGGATGAAGGACAGCAGAGGACTGAATCTTCATTGTGCAGTGTACAGGAGGCAAAACGATGTGCAGGGGATGAGAGACATATGTAAATATAAAATTTTAAAAATAGTAAGGGGAGGTGCTGGGGCAATAGTACAGCGGGTAGGGTGTTTGCCTTGCACACGGATGACCCGGGTTCGATTCCCAGCATCCCATATGGTGCTCTAAGCACTGCCAGGAGTAATTCCTGAATGCAGAGCCAGGAGTAACCCCTGTGCATTGCCAGCTGTGACACAAAAAGCAAAAAAAAAATAGTAAGAGGAGAAAGATGGAAGAAAGTAGATAATGAAGAAAATGTCAGGGAGCATAATTCAGTAGGAAACTAATTACTGCATAGGAATATAATCAGTGAGACTGAACTAATGTGTGATAGTCACATAGTCAGGGAGATTTAATCTGGACTTTGAAGAAAAGGTGAATCAGGCCAGATAGGAAAGGGTGAGAAAGAAAGAGCAAGCAACAGTAAAGTATGGTTCTAGGATAGGTAAAGGTAAAGGTAAAGGCCCTCCCGTTGATCGTCGATTTGCTTGAGCGGGCCCAGTAACGTCTCCATTGGAGACTTTGTTGTTACTGTGTCTGGCATATTGAATACTCTCGGTAGCTTGCCGGGCTCTCCGAGAGGGGTGGAGGAATCGAACTCGGATTGGCCATGTTGGCCGCTTGTAAGGCGAATGCCCTACCCGCTGTGCTAAGGTTCTAGGATAAGTAATATTAATAAAATCTGGGAATTTATGGGATCTACCAATCCTCAATCCTCAACCTAACCTACTGAATCAGAAACCTCAGTTGTCATTTGCTGTTTTTAAGACACTCACACAATGATTTGTTACCTATTTAAGTTGTAGAAGCACTGGACTGAAGCAGTAGTTTTCAGTTCAGGTTAAATATTGAAATAACCTGAGGCCATTTAAATTCTGCTTATGCATGAGTACTATCACTAGAGATTCATTTTAATTTAGTTTCGTTCTGGATTCAGGAGTCTCCAAAACTCCATGGGTAACTCAAGTGGCAGTTAAGATGGAAAGCAGCTGGAATTGAGAAAGCAGAGGCAAGATAGAGATTTCTCCCATTATACCTCACCACCTACTCTGAATAATACCTAAATCATGGAGCAAAAGTATTCACACATATTATTTCACTGTGACATTACAAGAATTGAATACTTATCTCTTGGCTAAGAATTTTACTTCAAACTTGAAGTTATAGACTCCAAGAATAATATGCTTTGTGTGAATCATATATATAATAATATTCTTTGTGTAAATGATATCTATAAATCCAAGACACAATCCAAGCAAGTGTAGCCTCATATCATAGGCCAAGGATTTTGCTTAGAAAAACTGCTCTGTATAGTATGCTTGAATTTAAGACGCAATTTTAAACATAATAGTATGCTCACAATGAATATGCTGAAATGAAAAATTGAATGGAGCTGGACAAATTGAAAATTGTCTCCATGTTTCTTCCAAAACAAGTTCCTAGTTTCTCAAGATTTTGAATACCAAACAGTACAAAAGTATAGTAATCATGTAGACTGTCTTCACTTTAATTTATTTCAATTTTTTACTTTGATTTATTTTAGATATGAGATTTAGGTATTTATTCTTGATTCATGGGATCGTGTAGTTTTTCTCCATTCTAGCCATATGCATGAGTTTTATAGCATTGTTAGTTCACAAAATCACAAACTACGTATAAGAATATGTCTGCCATAATTATGACAAGGATAATTTATCCACAGTTTCCCAAAAGAAGCTAACTTTTGCACACAATCTGCTATCAACTCACCACTTAGAATTAAATTAAATTTTAGGGATGATCATGATTATCTAAAGAAGCATAAACTTTGAAGTTTAAAAAAAAAGAGTAATTTCTGAAGATGCACTTCTATCTGAGCAGGTCATTAGTGAAGAAACTAGTAATGCATGAAAATTTAGATGAATTTTAGCATCACATATTAAAATGATAAAAGTGATGCAAAGTTGGGAAACAAATAATTTTGGTAGAGTTAAGTATAAATTTTCTGGAAATATTTTAAAGAGCTTTAAAAACTAGTTCAAAATGGACCAGAAAGATAGCTCAGGGTATAAGGTGCTTGCCTTGCATGTAACTGACCCCAATTTTATCCCCAGCACTACACGTGGTCATGAAATGATTCCTGAGCATTGATGTATGTGCACAAATTCCCTCAAATAAAAAGTTTCATTTTAATAAGAATTGTGATAGCACAGCGGTAGGGCGTTTGCCTTGCATGCAACCAACATGGCCGACCCGAGTTCGATTCCTCCACCCCTCTCGGAGAGCCCGGCAAGCTACAGACAGTATCTCGCCCGCACGGCAGAGCCTGGCAAGCTCCCCGTGATGTATTCGATATGCCAGACACAGTAACAACAAAGTCTCCAATGGAGACGCTACTGGGCCCACTCAAACAAATCGATGAACAACGGGAGGGCCTTTACCTTTATATAGTTAATGAGTAAATTTTATCATATATATATATATTTTGTTCACACCCGGTGAAGCACAGGGGTTACTCCTGATTCTGGTTCTGCACTCAGAAATTACCCCTGGCGGTGCTCAGGGAACCATCTGGGATGCTGGGAATCAAACCCGAGTCGGCCGCGTGCAAGGCAAACGCCCTACCCGCTGTGCTATTGCTCCAGCCCGATTTTATCTTACTTTTTAACGGAAGGGCAAAACCTACTAAAGCAGAAAGAAAATCACAAGAAAAAGTATTTGTTTATATGACTTGAAAACCTATAAAATAAACATTTTAATATAGCAACTGTGGCATAGACTAAAACGATTATATATATATATATATAATGCTGAAGATTTAATGCTATAAACACTATTTTCTAAGTACATATATATTCACACATATCAATGCACACAAACCCATACATATACTTATCTGACTGTCCACAAAAGCAGTTAATAGGGAATGGGGTGGAGAGCATATGTTTTAAAATCATGAAAATACAAATGCATCTGGATGTTCTTGAATAATTTTCTTAACTTCTCTGAAACTTCTTTATCACTTGCGCAATGTAGTAAATAATTCTCCCAGAAAATATCAGAGTAGCAAACAAAATGAGATATTTAGCATGCCCCAAAAAGAGACTAATATTTTTAATTTGAGGAAACTCTATTTGCCTGGTTTTTAAAAAGGATTTATTTTTAAAAAAGAATTTTCAAGTTGTTAATATTTTTTCATAAGCCAAATCACTTCTCCCAGCTATGTGATGAATTTCAAAATAGGCAGTAATCTTCCTTATGCATGGCAAGTCATTAGTATCTCCTGCAGATATTATTTCAGGGTTAGAGCTTTACAATGAAGTATGACTAGGGAGAGGCTAGTTTTCTCCTTATGACGCAAACATTCACCTGGGGCAGCTACCTACCTGGTCAAAGAGAAACTCATAGCTCCATTTCCTTATATGTCATTATGTTCTTGCCTTCTCAGAGTACTTATCTTTCCCTTATTGTTTACTAAGTTGTTAAAGTGTCGTCTCTTCTTCTTCTTCTTCTTCTTCTTCTTCTTCTTCTTCTTCTTCTTCTTCTTCTTCTTCTTCTTCTTCCTCCTCCTCCTCCTCCTCCTCCTCCTTCTCCTCCTCCTCCTTCTCCTCCTCCTCCTCCTCCACCTCCACCTCCTCATCCTCCTCCTCCTCATCCTCCTCCTTCTCCTCCTCTTCTTCTTCTTTCTTTTACTTTCTTCTTCTTCCTGGCTCTACACTCAAGAATTACGCCTGGCAGTGCTCAGGGAACTATATGGGATGCCAGGGATTGAACCCAGGTCAGCTGCGTGCAAGGCAGACACCCTTCCCCTTGTATTATTGCTCCAGCTCAAGTGTTATTTCTTCATCTTGTCTTCAATTAAAGTAGAAGAGACATGAATTAAGGGACAGTCTGTTCCTTACATAGATCCAGAACTTAAAAGACTTACTGGAATATCATAAACACTCAGCACTGTTTTCTGAAAAACATGAGTTTGTGTGGTGTGCCCTATGTAAATGTGGCTAAGAGCAATGATTTGCTAAACCACAGTGACCTGGGGACCATCCACTGGAAATGATTACATTGCTCTGGTCTGCAGTTCTGTGTGGTTAGAACTGAATTCTAGCAAAAGCGGTTATGAGCAAGCTTCAAATTCCAGTCAAAGTGGTTTGAGAGCCATCATCATCTGTCTCCTCAAAAGAGCAAGTATTCTTGAAAAACTAGATCAACTACAACTTTTAATGATCATTTACTAAGATGTAAAGTCAGACAACTTAATAACATAAATTTAATAAACTCCTGCCCCCAAGTTATAAGTTATAATTCTTATTCAAAATAGGTTACATGCTTACACACACACTCACAATATGTCATGCACACACACACACACACACACATATAGGCACATGCACATATACATTCAGTCACATACACTCACATGTCTATTTAGAAACACTCAGGAATTTTGTTACACAGATACAGACTCACACTGACCACACGCAAACACACACACATAGACAAAAGAGCTCACTATCACATAAACTGTTCAAAAGATTTCCTCCTTACCTGAGCTTCAAGTATGTTAACTTTTTCTTTCAGATTCTCGATTTTTTTATCTTGTTCTTTTAAATTACTTTTTAATCCTTCCATCTAAGAATTAGGAAGCACAATTGCAAAATTGTGTCAGACAGCAGGAGGCAGTTAGATAAATCAGAAATTGTATGTTTCTATGGCCAACTAATGATGTTTATCAAACAAAAAATAGTAAATCCCAAAGCATTAGCCGACTCGGGGGAGCACAGAAAACAGTGGGGCACATTGGCATCTGGGGATGAGAGCATGCAGGTGGTGCTGTTAAACATTTAATCTTTGAAAAATTTGTTGAAAGTACATTCAGCAGGGGGCATCCTGTGAAAAGTTCCCTGGTCTACTTCCGAGGCTTATTCATGTAATGCTTTCATCCAGCAGAAGCAGAGGTCAGTGAACCGCATAAAAGGCCCCTGCCTTCAGTAAGATGCTCCCTGAGACAGATATCTGGTCAACCAGCTGCATAATGATATAAGGTCACTTTGTTTTGGAAGAGAAACATCAGCCAAGAGGCAAGTAAAATGGAAAAGAAAGGTTGATGAGGAGTAGAACAAGGCAGAAAAAAGAGACATTGATTCTATGACCAACTGGACCTCTATGAGGTCTGTCATTGGACCACTGTGTGTGTCAGTTTCCTCACTCGTCAAAACCACAGTGTGCTACCAAGGTACTTCCAAACTCTCAAGGGCCATGACCCTATTCCTGTACCTTTTGGTGAGATAATACCCAAACCAAGCACACACGTGACAGTTACATCAGAAAAGCACCAAAAATTCCCTTTGAATACAAGTCTTGGGTAGTATGCAGAGCTGTGGTCAGCAAAACAGGATGAGGTGGCAAATTGAAAGGGACCTAGTGAATTGTGGTGGAGTCACGCCACATCAGTACACTGGGGGTTGTGGTGTGGTAACATACCATGAAGAGGCATGAATCTGTAAAGCATATAAGTTATTTTATGGAAAAATTGTGTTACCTGTTGTTATTGTCATTTAACTATGTTATTTATTTAACTACTGTCATTTATGTTATTGTCATATAACCATGATCAAAATGGTTAATGAGGTCTAATTTTAAGTGTACAGCAGAACTCTCAACTGAGATCAAAATCTTGAAGCAGATTATATGAATATACGATCCAAATCCATTTGGTTTCTGATACAATCATCTTTTCCACTTGCCATTGTGTTCTCAAAGAATATGTTTATTTTTGATAAGGAAAACAGTTCATTTTTTTTTTTTAAAGGGCTGAAACTCCTTATGTACATCTTAAAATAGCAATGAAGTCGGTGAGTCCTAAACCTGTCTCAGAACACTTAAAAAAATCACAGAAACATCTAAAACGGTGTCAAACACAATGTCCCGTTGAAAACAGGATCAGTTGTGGCAGAGGGACAGGAGGGACACTAGAAACATTGCGTTGTTCCGCAAAACCCCCACAGAAGGAAATGCCAGTGGGGAGAGGATTCGCAGCGCTGGAAAAACCATATAAACTCTTCGTCTAGATCTTCCCCAAACTCCCGTCTACCTGAGCTACACCCTTGATATATCTCACCTCCTGGATGATGCCGCGCAGGTTCTGGTGCTGGGAGTGAATCACGAACTGTAGGTGCGAGATCTGCTCCTGGAGAAGGGAAATCTCCGCTTGAAGATTTCGGCAACTGGCAAGACCCAGGGAAAGAGAGAGGAGGGCTTGCTAATGAGTTACTTTGTGCCACCATACCCTCCTCACACACCATCCTGACTCTTTTTTTTTTTTTTGGCTTTTTCGGTCACACCCGGCGATGCACGGGGGTTGCTCCCGGCTTTCCACTCAGAAATTACTCCTGGCGGTGCTCAGGAGACTGTATGGGATGTGGGAATCGAACCCGGGTCGGCCACATGCAAGGCAACCGCCCTAACAGCTGTGTTATCGCTCCAGCCCCCCATCCTGAATCTTACGTGGAGTGGAGGGCACCACAGGGTTGAAATACACAGAACTCCAAGGACTCCATAAGCCCCGCAAGACAATCTCATGTAAGAACTTGAAAGGCAAGTAATATCCCAATTCAAAAGTACCCTCTGGACATCTGTTACTTCCTCTTCCTTTCCCACAGAGGTTAAATTTATTATTAAGCTGAATTAAGTCATTACACACCAAATCTGTCTTGCCTCTGAAAACCCCAAAACCTACCACCCATTGCAATGCACAAATAATGATGTGTATTCAGCAAAGCTAGATCAAAAAGTCAAGGGTGGAGATTTCACACACAGACACAGACACACACATACTGACACACACAGACACAGACACACACACACACACACACACACACACACACACACCACACCACACCACACCAGAAACCAATTTTCAGTGATATAGGTTAGGATTTACTACAGATCTCCTGTACTTTTTATTTCTTCCAACTTTGGACAATTGCCCCACCTTTACAGAGGGCAAGAAAAAAAAAAAGGAGAAAACTAATTTCCCACTAATGCTTTGAGTAAAGGTAAAGGTAAAGGCCCTCCTGTTGATCATCGATTTGCTCGAGCGGGCCCAGTAACGGCTCCATTGGAGACTTTGTTGTTACTGTGTCTGGCATATCGAATACTCTCGGTGGCTTGCCGGGTTCTCCGAGAGGGGCGGAGGAATCGAACTCGGGTCGGCCATGTTGGCTGCGTGCAAGGCAAACGCCCTACCGCTGTGCTATAGCTCCAGCCTTTATTTAATGCTTTTAGTATTATCTAAAAATTTAGGTAAGCCTGAAATCACTTATTCATAATTTCCTACAGTCCATATAAGTAGCTGGACTGTTTTGTCTCCTGTGAAAATTATGAATGCTAGGTGGCAATGTGCATTGTGTTAAAACCAACCAAACTTGGAAACATATAACATTGGAGAAATCATACCACCTTCCTAAGCTTCCATTGAGCAGATAATTATTAACCTGTATTACTTTAAAAGATTATATTCTATTTTTCCATAGAAAACAGTACTGCCAAAGCTGTATTTCAAAAATTAAAGCAATTTGATTTATTAGCCAAAAATTTGCTGAAACAGATGACAGTATTTAAATTATTCCATAAGTGGATTTCATAAGCTTCTATTCCAAGTGAAAAGAAATCCCACTGATTAGATTTAGGCAGTCACAACATGTACAACCAACTCTTATTCTGTTGGCACCCCCCACCACCATTTGATTGGAATGTATGCCACATAGGTTCTTATTGCCTTTTTAATGTTTCTTATGAAACCACCTCCTACTGCATTTTAACTACTGAAATGCAATAAGTTTCTCTTCTATAAATCCTTAGCTTCTAATTGTGGCACGCTGCAAACTTAAAGACATAAAATGAATATATTTTTGAAAAATAAGCTATTTACAAGACAACATGTTAATAAGATTTTAATTTGCCCTGTTTCAACAATTAGTAGCCAATGCCAATATCCAAGGCAGGTCTTTTATAGTGTGTAAATATACAGGCCAGGAGAATTCATACGAAACTATAGAACATGCTATAATTAGGAAAAAACTTGCTTTTTTCAACAAAAGTTGATTTTGTTCATATCTTGCACTAAAACATTGATTATCAAATGTAATATGCTTTGGAGGATTTTGTTTAAATCACTATGTTCAGGGACCACAGGGGTAAAATGATAGCCTTGCACACAGCAGACAGGGTTTAATGCTGACACCACATAAGGTTCCCCAAGCATTGCTAAAAGTGACTCTTGAAGACAGAGCTGGAAGTATGCCTTGAGTACACAGGTTCTGCACCCCTCCACTCCCCCAAAATTCTCAGGGTTATTAGTGATTGTGTTGATCCTTTGTCAGGCTTAAAGCAGAACACTGCCAAACTACTAAGATTGTTTCAATAATTGTAGAATATTATGTAGTGTCTCAAAGATGAATAATTTGAAGGCAACTTGGAATATTTAAAAGTTTTTAAATTTTTTTCTTATTGATTTTTCATGAGAGATTTAGAAAAAGTTAATTTTTCTGTTAAAAATTTATATAAAATGCAATCATTTTTAAATACAGGTGATAAACAATGATAGTCATTGTTTATTTATTCTAAGCAATCTTGTAACATGCTTAAAATACTATATAATTATACAGCACATATATAGCAAACTGTGTATTAAATATAGCTCCTTATTTTCCATAAGAAAATGGGAAACAATCTATCAAAAGAAGAATCTGTAAAACAAATTATGGTATATCATGACAATTATGCTAACTAAACTTATTATATGTACATATATCAAAGAGGTGTAGACAAAGACTTGGATTATAGAAAGTAGTTTTCCAGATTGCTATAGAAAGCCTGGTCTCAGCAAATGGTACTGAGACTATTAGATATTCACATGAAGCAAAGAAAAATTTTATTCTAACCTCAAAATAAATATAAATTCCACATTGTGTCTAAAACTTGGACATGAAAAGCATTCAAAAATAACACAGAAGAATCTTCATGAATCTGGACTAGAGGAATTTTTTTTAATTTAATGCAAAACAATATTAATCCCACAAAGGCAAAGATTAATACATTTGACTAGAAATTAAATTTTTAACTTCTAGCCATCAAATGAATGTGAACAGCAAATTCTAGAATATTGTTTTCATATTCAAATAGCAAATAAAGACATTACGTCTAAAATATATAAGGAATATCTATGACCCAATGGGACATACAAGGAGTAAAAGAGTTTGAAAGTGACTTGAAACGGCACTTCACCAGAAAAAAAAAACTATTCAAACAGACAATAAACATATGAAGATGCTTAACAGCATTAAAATTCAAAGTAGTGTAAGTTAAAATCACATGCATATACCATCAAACAACCACCAAAATAGATGAAATTTAACAAGACTGAAAATGCCAAGTCTTGGCAATGATTTAGAGCAACAGGAACATTATATTTATGAAAATCAATCAATGTGATATACTACATTAACAGACTGAAAGCCAAGAGCACATGATCATCTAACAGATGCAGAGAAAGAATCTGACAAGATTCAATGGCTTTTCATGATAAATAATCTCAACAAAATAAGTATAGAAGTAATTTATTTCAACACATTAAAGGCTATATAGGGCAATCTGCAGCAAACTTCTTAATCAGTGGGGAAAACTAAATCTTTTATTCTAAGACCTGGAACAAGGCAAGGATGCTCTTGTGCTATTCAACACATATTGGAAGTCCTAGATAGGGAACATAAGCAAGAAAAAGAAAGGACATCGAAATTGGAAGGGGAAAAGTAAATTATCTCTGTTTGCATATGATATTAGCATATACATAGGAAATTCTAAAACTGACACAAAAAAGTAGTAGATCTTACGTAGTTAGTAGAGCTTCTGGTTACAAAGATAACACATGAAGTGATAATTCTATAGATAAGTTACAAACAATCCAAAGGGGAAATTAAGAAAAAAACATTTATATTCACAACACAATAAAATACTCTTAGGAATTTTCTTAACCAAAGACTTGGACAACAAATTTGCTTAACCAAGATTTGAACAATGAAAATTGTAAAGCATTAATGAAGGAATTTAAAATGAACATTTCTTTTAAAAATGATAAAAAAAAAACCCTTCTTTTATTTAAAAATTGTCTCCTAGTCAAGGTGATGTGGCTGTAATGGTGTTTACATTATGGTGTACTGATATATAAAGTTGTTGTACCCCTCCCCTGAACCAGCAAACTGCCCATGATCCTTCAGCACTGTCCTAATGTCAACTCTAGTTTTATTAATAAAGGCTATTTTGAGATAGAAACAAATGAAAAGACATCTGTCTGTGAGTTGGATGACATAAATTGTTAAAGCATCTGCAAGACCCAAAGCGACTTTCAGAAACAAGGCAATCCCAATAACATTTTCACAGAAGTAGGGGAGAAATAGAAGAACCACCTTAAATTACATGTGAAATTACAACAGACAGCCAAAGGCTAAGACCATCCTGAACATCAAGAACGAAGTTGGAGACACAGCATCTTTTGACTTCTCAATATATTATAAAGTAATATGAATCAAGAGCTCAGTGCCAGCACTAAAACAAATGTATTTATCAATGGAGCAGAAGAGAGAACTTAAGAGATAGACAAAAGATTTCCAGTCAAGTGATCTTCAATAAAGATGCCAAGACCACAATGGAAACAGTCTCTTAAACATATGGTAATGAGAAATCAATATCCACATGTAAAAGGATGAACTTGTACATCTCTAACCAAATACAAAATATCAGCTAAAAATAGATTAGGGATTTAAAGACAAAACTTGAAATTCTAAAATTCCTAGAAGAAAATAAGGAGAAACTTCCTTAGCATTGGTCTCAGCAATGAGTTTTGGATATGACACAGAAAGAACCAGGCAACAAAAGAAAAAAAAAAAAACAAGTAAAACAATATCACACTAGAATTTTTCTGTAAAATCAAAGAAAGAGACAACAAAGTGAAATGCAACTTATCAAATAGAAAAAGTTATATCTCCAATAGTAGTTTATTTCCTATAGATGTGAAAAAATCATACAACTGAGTACTAAAATACTAAGTTACCTAATTGAAAGAACATAAACATTTCTAGAGAGAAGAAATTCAAATAGCCAAGAGATATGTGAAAAGGTGCAGAATACTCTCCATCTGTAAGTGAAACCTTATATCTTATTTAAAAACCTGTATCTTATTGAAGCCTTGTAACTGAAATCTTGTATCTTATTTAAAGGGCTCCAGCAATAAGCAAATAAGCATCATGAGATCCCCAAATGGCTTTGGTCCTTGAAAGACTGATCAACTCCTTGATCCTGGTTTTTCAGCATAAATTACACATAATCTTTCATTTTAAACTCATCTCAACAGGTTTATGAAGACAGAAAAATAAATGAACAAATATTATTTCACCATTAAAAGAAAAAAGAAAAAGTGCAGAATATTTCTCATCATAAGAGAAATATGGTCGGGCTGGAGTGATAGCACAGCGGTAGGGCGTTTGCCTTGCACGCAGCCAACATGGCCGACCCGAGTTCGATTCCTCCGCCCCTCTCGGAGAGCCTGGCAAGCTACCGAGAGTATCTCGCCCACATGGCAGAGCCTGGCAAGCTACCCGTGATGTATTCGATATGCCAAACACAGTAACAACAAAGTCTCCAATGGAGACGTTACTGGACCCGCTCAAGCAAATTGATGAACCATGGGAGGACAGTGACAGTGACTAAGAGAAATATAATTCAAGCCCAGAATGAGATGGTTTAACTTACACCAGTTATAGTGGTTACTATAAAAAAGACAAAAGATTAAAGTCAGTGAGAGTGTGAAGAAAAAATGAACCTGTCCATTGGTGGTAATGTAAATTTTATCATCATTTTGGCAAACTATGAATATCTCTCACTTTTTTTTTTTTGGTTTTAAATCAGGCTGGAGAGGATTTTAAATCCTGTAGGGAGCTTGCCTTGCACATGCCAACCCAGGTTTGGTTCCCACCACTTTATCTGGTTCCCTGAGCCCCACCAGGAGTGATTCCTAAGTGCAAAGCCAGGAATAAGCACAGAGCATCACTGGGTGTGGCCAACACCCCCCCGCCACCAAGTAAAAAACTTATATATGATCCATCAAACCTACTTCAAGGTAAAAATGAATTATAAATTCATAATTCAGGATTATGAAAAGTTAGTTTTATTCTCATGTTTACTGTGGCATTATTCCCATGGTGAAAATATGAAAATAAAGGTCCTTTGGTACCGATTGTCCAGCCCGGTGATGATAATTCAAATGGTATTGTATTCTTGAAAATTTCCATGAGTATAAATCTCATAACAATAACAACAGTCACCCTTTGATCCCAGAGTTCCTGGGTCATCCTTGAACACAAGATCATTTTTTTAACCCTACTTTACTGGCTGAAAGTATTTTTATATTTCATGAATAGTCACAGCCAGCCTGCCTCTGCAAAACATTTCAAGTTCTTCCTCATTGTTTCCAGGAAATTTCCAAATCAGATTATCTTTTCTTCCTTATGTTTCTCTCTTTTATCTCTTCTTAGTAGAGAAATTTTGATTTTTAACTCTGGCTGAAGGCTAGATTCATGTCTACATTCAATCCTAATGTCCTCAACTCATCCTTCCCTACTCTAGAAAGATTATTTTTCTGAGGAACCCTATTTCTCAATCCTCTGAAAGATCTCTGTTTCTTTGCCCTCCAAGGATCTTGAGCACAACCTGATATGTAAACACTCTGTTAGGATGGTTCAAATTTCCTCTTTACAACAACAACAAAAGCATTGAGATAATAAAGATAGTCCAGTATCTTTTTAAATATCAGATGATGGAGAAGTTCACGCATTCCATTCCTTAACTCTAAAAAGATTTACACTTTGACACTCCTATCAGTTTCCCTGTACCCCAATGAGCTCCGCCTCCCCATCCATGCCCCAGCAGCAGATGGAGGGGTCAAAAGAAAGAGGGAAGGGTAAAAGGGGACACCATGATTATGAATCCTACAAACTCTCCTTCCTATGAATTTATAGTTGGCCAGTTTTGGGATGTGGGGTGTGGAAAGTTTCTGTTCACTGGCCAGTGAACAGGTTAACAGAAAAAGTGTGGGGAACTGCTTCTGCTTCAGAGGAAATTTTTCAAACCTTTTAGCATATGTGATGTTGGGTTTGAGTTGCAATAACTGCTTCTCCAAAGACAGTTTTTTTTCGAGCAGTGATCTTTTTTCCTAAAAGAAAAGAAGACATGAATTTTGCTTATTTCTCACATTTTCCCACCCACGCCACATGCTTAAATGTGTAAGGCATTCTTGCAAATTGTTCATAAAAGATGCATCTTGCAACATAAAAAGTATGCCTTGAGCTAAAGAACTAAATTTACAGGGAGCTGTTACGGCCTACTGCAGGTTGAATCCTGCCCAAGCATTCTCCTGCAGTTTCAAGTAGCTCAAAGACATGTCAAGACAACTTGTCAGGCCTCTTGCCTTCCTTGGAGAATTCTTTATTCTCCTCCAGTCCACTGCTGAAACATAATCTTATCAGTTAAAATTCTCCAGCCTTTCTTCATCCTTCCCCAAATACAAAGTTCCTGCTCATCTCTTTCTAGGCATTTGCTGCTCCCACACCTAGTACACCTGATTTTCCTTCATGAGACTGAGCTGTTGATATCCAACAACACTATTGAAACTGATCATGGTATCTAGACACTTACAAGGCATCTGTCACATAGAAAAAAAAAGTAAATGCATTTACAGAAGGATCAGATTAGGACATAAGAAAAAGAAGAGTTCAACAGGAGCTGAAGAGATAGGTAGGGAGCTTGCCTTGTAATTGGCCAGCACAGTTCAATCTCCAGTACACCCATATGATCCTGGAGCCCTTCCAGAGGGATCCTTGGGCACAGAGCCAGGAGTGTGACCCCCCAAGCATGGCTGGAAATAGACCCAACTCCCCCCAAAAGAGATAAGTAAATGCTTTTGTATTGTTACTATTAAACCAAACTATTTTTATCCAAAGGGTAAATAGATAAACCCAGAAAAAAAATCAAATGAGAAAATCATACCCTTCATATTCGATAAGACATGTTAATGTGTTTGAAATGCTGTTTAAAAGCATTCCTGCTACAATATTTATATCATACACTAAATATGGTAGTGGTATGCAGCAGAAACATTAGAATGTCTTTGCATATGGAGCATCCTAATTTGAAACTTGGTGGCTGCATAACTTTTGCCAAAACTTTAACTTTAATGCACCTTATCACTGTGGGGGAAAAAAAAAACTAAGGCAAGGGATGTGGTCCAATGGCCTTATATATGCGAATTCCTAGATTTGAGTCCCAGCGTCATAAAAATAAAATAAAACCTTGGAAATCAAAATAATAACGTATGTTTTTAATGACATATTAGGACATCTGTAGGAACAAAGAGCTGCACATGAAACTTTCTTCCTAATATATGAGCAAATCTTCACATAGAGGCCCATGAAGACCAGACAAATAAGTTCTACCATGGCTATGTGTCTGGTAACTAACTTTGCATGAGAACACTCTTTGACAATAGAAAACAACACTATACCAAGTAACCCCTTTTATAGGACAGTATTTTCTGGAAAGGGAAAGAATATCATAGAGTCACTCAGTGGGCAAGTCACTGTTCCCAAACTTACCCCTGAGGGGCTAGAGTGTTCCTACACTATTGATGAGGTTGGAACCTACACCAGCTCAAGGCAGTGTCAAATGTTAACATCAAAATGATGAAGAATAAGAAAATCATTTTTATCTGCCATTAGAGGAAATAAGAGCATAATACAAAGGCTTGTGGACTGCTAACTAGAGGCCTATGGGAGAGTTCCTTGTTCACATTGTCCTCATTTATAAAATGAGAAGGAGGAACTAGGTGGTCTCCAAGGCACCTTTGAGCTCTAAAACTGAGCAAAATCAATGGCACTCAAAAACAAATAAGATGAGACAGAATTGCAGTGCTGGTAAAAGGAACATATGCCATCTGAACGTGCTCTTATTGGGGGTTTTTGCTGGCTTATCACTGTCTATGGAATTCATTCTCACTGCATTCCTGATTAAAGTGGACCAGATGGTGAAGGTTTTAAGTAATGTGTTCATTACCAGACCTCATACCACTAATGGCTATTTACTGGAGCAGTGGCTTGTTCAAGTGAGTAGAAAATGAATCCTTCTCCAGGGGGCACCCGCTACCAGGGCAGTATTTATCAACATTTGTTATGGATGTTCATTTTTAATTTTCATTTACTTTTACTTTTCAAATGCAGGTCTTTCTCTAACGAATACCAAAATCTTGGACTCTTTTTCTATCAATCTGCGACATACTACCCGTCTCCACCAGAAATTTTAAAAAACAGACAAACAAAAAATAACCCTCATCACATCCTGTATTCGTGATATCTTCTTAAGCCATGGTGCTGCTGAGTTTGACCTTTTGTAGTTTTATTTGTTTATGTCTATGTTCCATAAGTGGAAAATACCTACAAACTTACGCATTGCCTCTCCATTCTGTTCCCACCTGCCTCTGCTGAAAGGCTCATTCTAGGCAGTCACTGAGCCAGATAGAATATTCTAGAAAGCAAATACATGACTCATAGCATTCTGGACACCCTGTCTAATTACTCCATCAAAGAGGTCCTTTATGTAGTCCATAGTTATGGTTCAGGATTATGACAAATGAATGGCCACTATTTATCAACTATATCCGAAACCCCAACTTATAATCTCTTTCTAGAAGTATATTCCTGTACAATGACTATGGGGATCTGCCTCCCTAAGCTACTGTAGAAAAGGCCAGAAAACTATTGGAAAAGTTCCTTGAGTCAGTCCTGCATAACATAGATATGCCACACTGAAATTTCTAAGAAAAGGGGAAGTTGGATCACAAATAACTTTCTAGAACTGCCTGACACATGAGAGGTAGCCAGAGAATTGCTGAATAGTCTTATGACTTTATTCTAGAATTCTGAGCTGAACTTGCATCTGGCACATATTACCGGGGACTGCACAGACAATGAAATGGAATCACAGTCAAATTCACTGCTCATCTGTCAGCTTTCAGGGACTAAGACTGAGAGACTCAGTCTTAGCCAGTGTTAACTGGATTTGAAGTGATCAGAAGCCAAATTGAAATCATGTTGGGTTAATCAACGCCATTCACTTTCCCGAACTGTCATACTTTATACATTTCAGTCTTCATGTTATATTGGTTTGTTATTCGTTGGATGATAAAAATCTTTTGGCCAGAGAGATAGCACAGAAGTTAAGGCTCATTCATGCAAGCTCCTTTTACTGAGCCTTACATTGGCTAACAGGGGAAAGTGTCGGACAATGGTTAGATTGTAGTATTTATTGAGACAAACTAGGAATCAGAGTATAGATCACTATCATAGTGTAAAGGGAAAAACTAACATCACCGAGTCCTTCCTAAAGAGTTCAGAGTAGCAAAGAATACATTTGTTTAATGTTATTTGTAATTGACTCCAATTTGATCCCCAGCACTGCAAATGGTCCCCCGAACATCTTTAGTGTGCATCCCTATAGGCCCTCTGATACCACTAGAGGCTCCCAAGCATCACTGGGGTGACCCAGGTAATCCTTGGAAGCAAAGGCCCATGTATTTGAGCATCCTAGCATCCTCATGCCCTTGCATTGAACTGCTGCTCCCTGAGAGTTGTTGGAAGGGGCCCTGGGTCTCCTGTGGACTGTTTGGAGTATTCCCCTCCCTTCACCCACAAAAAAGGATCAATCTTGTAATACTACAAATTATTCATCAAACTGCTATGACTTCTTTAAAACAACAATCATTGTTATAAACCACCACTCCCAGCCTTCAGGACTTTGAGCCCCAGTGATTCTGACTGATGTAAAAGAACTCAGTGACCCACAGCACAACACAGCTACAGCCATGTATTATTATTATTGCTAAATTCAGTTATGTTTGGGCTTATTTAATTTTCATAGTTTGCTAATAGAATTTTTATTAAGATTAGCAATTCATCCAATTTCACTGTGTAATAAATTAAATCCTTGGGAAAAATGTTTAAATTAATCTAATTTCTATTAACAAGACACCTGAATATTAAAATGCTATACTGCTGAAGTGACATTCTAAGAGAGCATCAACCCAGCCATCCTCATAAGACAAAATAAGGTTAAACACATGGAGAAAATACTGGAAAATATATAATATGATAAAAAATGTATTATATTTATTTATTAAATTTCTTGGACAATATTTACTAGACATAAATTCCTATAGAATCTACACAATTCAGAGTTGCCAATTTCCATTTGTTTTGCTATTAAAACCACTATTATTAGTTGGCTTGTCTGAATTCTAAATTCCAAAGCAAGTACCATTTTATTTATGTACTAACCTTTTGTATGTATTTAGAGGATCTGTTATTTAAAGAGACAGGCATAAAAGTAAATAATTTTATTGCTATTCTCCTAAATTTGGGGGCCTTTGGGCGGAGTTGGAGTCACATTAGGCAGTTCTAAGCACTTACTCCTGGCTTTATGTTCACAGATCACTTCTAGCAGGTCCCTCTAAGAAACCAAATGTTTGAAACCGGGATGAAACCGGACAAGGGATGTGCAAGGCAAGTTCCTTAAGCCTTTTATTCTCTCTTGGCCCTGTTTTTATGGTTTTCATTGCTTTAACATCTTCTAACAGGAACTATGCCTATTTTAGTGCATCCATATAAATTTAAATTTATAAATTTATATTTTAAATTTTTAGATGTCAAACTGTCCAAATTTAAAATTTAAAATATAAGTGTAGGGTCTTATAAATCTAAAGTTGACCTGGGTGGTCATAAATGGATACTTCATGGAAATGTAGGAATATATCAATGCTATAATTCCTGGATTCAATATCATTACTAATAATAGGTTGGCTTTGTGATTTTTCCTTTGTTTTAATTTCTAAGACTCTCCTTTCTAAGCCATGCATTGGCTAGGGTGATAAAGTGTCAGACAATGGTTAGATACAATGATTAGTATTTATAGGTGAAAATTAGGAACAACAGTGCATATCACTATGAAGGTATAAAGGGTAAAAGTAGCAATACTGAATCTTTCCTAAGGTTTGCAGTTACAAAGAATATACTTGCCTACAGTCATGTTATTTATTTTAAGCTTACAATCTTTACATTTCACCCTGACTCTGTCAGAAAGGAATCCGTTCACTTCCTCAGAGGCTTACCTTTTCCATTCTCTGTACCAGGTTCTCCAATTCTGTGATTTGATTATGTTTTTCTTCAAGCTTTTGAGCAACTTGATTCAGATTTTCAACATGTTGTTCCAATTTCTGTTCTTTTTCAAGTTTGATAATCTTTGGTCAGAAAAAAAAGTTATTTGACTATTGCTGTTATTAACCCATACATATATTACTGGCCTTTAAAGCTTTGAGTAATCCCAACATTAATCCCACACTTGTTTTGAATTTCTTTGTTTGAATTCAGTGTTTTCCTCTAAATAAAATTGATAGCCTTCAAGTACAGTAAGTCAATGGAGAACAACATATAAATATTATTTCTAGACTTCATATTTATTATCATAAAGCCTACCACTTGATTTGGTTAATTAGAGAGAGTTCCTAATCTAGAAGAACAAAAAAAATGTATTTTTCCTATGAACTGTCTGGTTCTTAAAACACATCCTTGTTCATTCTCTGAGCTCCTCTCCCATGGCTCAAAACAAACCAAAGAAGATACCATGAAAGAGAGCTTGTTTTCACCCTGTGGCCTTTTAGTCACATTTGGGAGTGTGTCAGCTGACTTCTAACTGACATACATCTTAAAAATATATTTGTCCTCCCTTGAAAACACCAGGTGGGAATTTCTGCCAACAAGTCCAATGTAGGACACTCCAGCATGCTCCAGTCCATGCAGGAGAGACTATTTCTGAGAAATGTGAAATGAGAATCCTCTGTTCAGTGGGATTGACACACAGAGTATGTTGCACTGGCCAACCTGAACCAAGATCCAACACCTCTCACATAGGGAGGGTCTGTTTGCAGGAGATGCTTCTTGCCCTCTGACTCTGGGTCTGCATATACATACCTGGGTGTTCTTCCACACCCCAGTTTGGAGTGAAGTCACGCCCCTAATCACCCAAATTGAGCTAGTAGAGATCCAATCACCCAACCAAGTATGCATGAGCTTCCCTAATTTGTATTTCCACAAATGCAGGTACATGGCATTTGGTTAACTTCTTCAAGTTGTACAAAACACTCTTCAGATAAAGTTTTATTGGTTAGAGTAAATATACTCCATATATTGAAGCAAAATATATGTGTGTCATAACATTTATATCAACATAAACATACACATTTATGGTTTCCTATTTTTATATTGAAAGATAATACATACTGTAAATCTATAGTTATCAAAACAGCATTCTACTAGAATAAGGATAGACTCTCTGACCAATGGGTTATAATAGGGTTCTCAAAGAAAAATCCCCACACCTATGGTCAACTAATTTTCAGCAAAAGAACTGGGTATGGGAAGTGGAGTACAGAGAGCCTCTTAAATGTTATTAGAGGATAACCACATTAAAAAATATAAAGCTAGATTCATATCTCACTATGTCAAATTAAAGAGTTTTTAATTTGGGAAAAAATATTCACACCCAACATAAGATAAATGTTTACTATGCAATATATATGAGGAAAATAAAGGATTAGACACTTCTTTAAAAACAGATGAGTGGCTAATAGACACAAAAAAAAATTCTCGGCATCACTTTTTCAGGGAAATCCAAATCAAGATGACAAGAAGACACCATCATACACCAGTAATAATGGCACGTATCAGAAAAACTTGGAAAAAATCTATGTTGACAGCGATGTGATGAAAAAAGGAACTCATATTCTCTGCTGGTAGAAATTTTATCTGTTTCAACACCTACCGAAAACAGTATGGAGATTTCTAGAAAATGTAAGAATAAGACCTCTATATGCCTCAGCAAATACACTTCTGGTATCTACCCCCAGGACACAAAAACATTAATTCAAAAGGACATATGCACACCATTATTCATTGCAGCACTTAGCACAATAGCTAGGATATGGAATCAACCTAGTGTTCAACAACAAATGAGTGGGTAACGAAAGTGTGGTGTCTAGACACAATGGAATGCCATTCAGCTGCAAGATAGAATGAAATCATGCAATTTGCTGCAGCTTGGATGCAATTGGAGGAAATAATGTTGAGTGAAATAAGTCAGAAGAAAAACAAATACCACTAATCTGTGGTATATAGAACAACAGTACAAGGGTATGCAAGGTACTGGTACTAATGAAAGACACCTAAATTATCCTGGTTCCTAGCTTACAGAAATAAGAATAACAGAGAAGGAAAAAATTGAGGGAGATGTAAAGAAGAGGTGGATGGGAGCTAACGGGTAGAGAGGCAGAGGCCTCCAACCCATTGGTGGTTTAGAGGTGAGGTGGTAGCTGAACCACAGAACCAACAAAACTGAAAGCATGAGGTCCGAACTGTAACAACCCCATTTAAGAAGAACCTGTGGAGGAGGCCAGCTGCGGAGTGGGATGGAAACTGGGGATAGTGATGGAGGGAAGTTGACACTGGTAATGGAATTAGTGCTCAAAGATTTTATGCCTGAAATTCAACTCTGGGTAAGTTTATAAATCATGGTGCATGATAAAAAAAAAAATCAAAATACAAATAAAGCCCATGTAGCTCTGTAGCACTGTAGCTCTGTCCTCCCATTGTTCGTCAATTGGCTCAAGTGGACACCAGTAACACCTCCATTGTGAGTCTTGTTGTTACTGTTTTTGGCATATTGAATACGCCACAGGGAGCTTTCCAGGCTCTGAAGTGCAGACTGGATGCTCTCAGTAGCTTGCCAGGCTCTCCAAGAGGAGCGGAGGAAACCAACCTGGGTCGGCCACATGCAAGGCAAACACCCTACCCGCTGTGCTATCGCTCCAGCCCAAAGCCCATATAATTAAAAAATATTGTAAGTACATACATACACATATATTTTTGTTCCTTTGTTTAAATGGGGGGTGAGGGGGAATATCTGGCCCTGTTCCATGTTGGGACAGACACAGACACGTGTCAGCGGCTGTGCGTAGTCATCTGCCTGCATTGTCCACAAATGATGTTATAAATATTCAAAGTGCCCTTGAAAGAAATAAAGGTTTCCCACTCGGGTTTAATAGAATAGAAAAGTCTAGAATCAAAATATTTAAAGATTTATCTAGCTTAATTCTTTCATTTTAGAGACAAGAAATCTCCAAGGTCAGTCTGGATCCTTAGGTTTGACAAGGGGCAGAACTGGGCATCCCTACTGGTGCCACCTGGGCCAGCACAGAGAGCAGGTGGCCTAGTTCCCCTCCCACTGGTGTCTGCAGGGCTCTGGGCCAGAGCAGCAACACTGACACCTGACAACACCATTGTGACTGGCATTGAGGGTACAAGAGAGCCCGTGGCCCCAGCTGGCTTCACACCTAATGCCTCCCAAAAGAGGCCCGTGAAAGGTGGAGGACTAACTCAGCAATCACCTGACGGTGAGCATCATACCTGGAGCTCCCGCTGACTGTCTTCATGCTTCTTCCGAACTTCTTCGGATTGAGTTTGATAGTTTTCAAATAATCTCTGGGCCACATTTCTCAGAGCTGCTGCACCTGCTTCTCTGGAGGCTTCCAGCTAGGAAAAAGGTCACTGTGTGTGCTTTGATATTTACAGTGAAAACTGTTAAGGACAGAGCAATGATGGACAACTGAAAACGCTGAGCTGATAGTACTGTAATTTGCATTTTTGCTGGCAAAGGACAGAGGGAAAGAACAATGATCCATCGAGGAAATATAACATGAGAACCCTCCTTCCCATTTTGAGGGGATGATGTTTGTGGGAGTTGCACTGGCCAGGCCGACCCGAGTTCCAGTCTAGCAGTGCCCTGCTTGTCTACACCCTCCCCTTCTGGGCTCTGTGCAGTCTCCTTAGCTTTACAAGCACTTTATCAATAATTCCACAGCAGTAATAATAGATATTTTCCTGAAATAGAAGTGGAATAAGATTGGTGTACTACAGACAATAAAGCTAATATATCATGAGATTTCCAAGGGTTTAACCTAAGAAAATGAGAATGTCTGTCTACCAGACTCATTTCAGTACTTCGTATAAAACAAATCCCAAAAGGAAAATCAGAAGATATCTAACAATAAATAAATAGAAAAATATATATATAACTATTAGATCTCTAATAAATATATTTATTAACTATATATATATATTTTAAATATTTATTTTAAACATGAGATCAGGCCTTCTAACAAATCTATTACCAGAGGCCCATTTTTCTACAGAGCTCTTGAATTTATTCATCTGCCATAAGTAAAACTTCATACCATAGAACTTTAAAAATTGAGAGATATATTAAAGACTTTTTCCAAAGTAAAATAGTGAGATTTAATTTGTGACAGGTAATTTTGTTCTTTGCATGTATACATGTGCATGTGTCTGACTCTATAGATGAGTTATGGATATCTGTCTGCTTTAACTGAGCAATGAGCATATCTTATTGGTTCAAAGGCTCAATATATAAAATTAGCATTTTTTTTCCTAATAGTGTTACCTTGATTTTCAGTACTTCATTCTCTTTGTTCATTTCTAATAGCTGTAGGTCTTTTCCTTTCATCTTCTCCATGAGTACATCCAAACTGTAACAAGCGGGATCCACTTCCGGGTCAGAGCCATTCTCCAGGCTTTGATGTTGCTGCAATGAATACACATGAAAACCACAGGCCTGGCTATCTGCAAACACTGACAACAATAATTGCTTCTCAGTATTACACAGATCAAGGAAGGTTCAGGTCAGGACAAGTAAAAGAAATCTTTGAATCTCAAATATCAATGAGGATTCTAACTGAAGCAGCTAGTCTTTGCCTGTTCAAACATGAACTGACTTTCATACTTTAAAGAGATATGAATATGCCCATTATTCCATTTCTACTCCCTGTAGTTGAATCAGTAAGACCTTGGGGAGAGAGAAATAATGTCTATATGGTTTTCAAATATAAGTTTTACATATAAATGAATTTGGATGCAAGCTGCATTACTGTCACTGTCACTGTCCTCCTGTTGTTCATCGATTTGCTCGAGTGGGCCTAGTAACATCTCTATTGTGACAATTGTTACTGTGTTTGGCATATCGAATACATCACGGGTAGCTTGCCAGGCTTTACTGTGCAGGCAAGATACTCTCAGTAGCTTGTCGAGCTCTCCAAGAGGGGCGGAGGAATCGAACTTGGATTGGCCATGTTAGCCGCTTGCAAGGCAAACGCCCTACCCACTGTGCTATGGCTCCAGCCCAGCTGCATTACAAATAACTATCATTAAACCTACTACAACTACAGTACATATTTATTCAATGCTAAATGACACTTTCTTATATTTGCTCCATAGTTAGTTCCTAATCAGAGATGTTAAAACTGAAGCCAGTATAACTTGATATAAACTCTGCACATTAAAATAAATCTTATCTGTAACCATGAACAAACAGAGGTAGAAAAGAAATTTTGAAAGCATCAACTCAGTTGCACCAATTTTACAAATAGAAAGCTCATGATGAGAGAGACAAGTAGACTATTGTCTGTCTCTCCTGGGCATTCCAAGTGAAGGCTGGCTGAGGATTTCTTATAGAGTTACACACACTCTGAAAAGTTGACATCTGCAGGAATCATTTTTTAGAAGGGAGCAGGGCCATCCTTAAAGATTGTTATTGTGTGCACTGAGTGACTCATTAGAAACAGCCTCAAGACTTTAGAACTAGGTCAAACAGCAATTCTTTTTTAAGAAAAACGTTAACCAAACAGCAGTAGGAGAAATTATTCAGATTATGAGGACTTGTGATTATGAACTTTTACTGGAGGACAGAATCAGTAATCAATTATTAATAGACAAATAGAGTTGAAACTTATAAAGACTAACCAGTTCTTTGGTTCTTTAATTTAATTTTTATAAAGTAGTTCACAATATTTGATTACATTTAACATTCGAACACCAATTCCACCACCATTACACCTTCCCATTTTTTCTTTAACCCCTTCCTTCACCCTTCTCTTTCCTACCCATAAAAATTCCTGATTGTTGGGGGCGGGGGGGGGGGGGTGAGGGGGGAGGGGAATTCCTGATTGTCTTCTCCAGGTTTGGATTTCTACTTGAAACAGCATACCCTAAATTACAGTTATTTGGTCCTAAATAAACAAGTTTTACCTTTTCTTTTTAATGGCTCCCTGAATGCCCTGTTTAACATCAACCACAAAGATAACAATCATGTGTAATTATAAGCACCTATTATAATCTTTTGGATGCTTTATATGTTCACCTTTGTCTGAATACTCAAATACTAGAAAGCAGGATGTCTGTTAAAGAGCTGAGGAAATGAAAGAGAATAGAGTTTACTAGCAAGTTCAAGGTTATCCTTAAAATAACTCCCAGAGCCCAAATTAGAAATCAAGTGTGTTTAACAAAAAGCTGTGTTTTCCCACTGTGATTTATAGAAATAAAACAAAAGAACATAGTTTATCTGGATTATATTTTCATTGTAACAGATCCTGCCCTGATGTTTTTTTTTTAAGTCTAGATCCTAGATCTTCCTCTTCTCTCTATATATATACAGACATGATGTCATTCTCTTTTTATTTGCTAAAGAATATTAAACAGAAAGACTCGTGGAAAAAAATTAATTTTTCCCTTCTCTTCCCTCTGCTGTTATAATGATTAGATTCAGGCAGTTACAACATATATAACCAAATCTTACTTTGTTGGCACATTTCCCCCTCATTTGATTAGGAAGAAAAAATCTTACTGCCTTTTTAATGTTTCTTATGAAACCACCTCCTAATCATTTTTAACTACTGAAATGCAACAACGTGTTTCTCTTTTATAAATTCATAGAATCTAACCGTGGCAAGCTACAAACTAAAAGAGATAAAGTGAATATACTTTTGGAAAATCATCTTTTTACAAGAAAATATGTTAATATTGTTTTAATTAACTCTGTTCCAACAATTAGTAGCCAATATCCAAGGCAGGTCATACTTTTACAGTGTGTAAATATTATTATAATTTCCAGAATTCATACAAAACTATCGAGTATATCCTTGGTAGGACACAATTAGAGAATATCCTAAACACTTTAACTGTAAGATTTGCCAGGGCTTGCACACTTGAGCTGTGATGTTCACAAAGGCTGGGCCTTGTACAAACGTGGTTGTGGCTCTGGGTGGATCAGTCAGGATCACATTCAAGAATTGCTTTCATGCATGAAAGACAAGTGCTCACCACTGATCTATCTTGGGCCCAAAAGACTCTAACAAAAGGCAAACTAAAGACAGTTATATACAACCACGAAGCTCATAGTTCTTAAACTTTAATGTGCATAGAACTTTGGTGGTATATCTCTAAGTAGATTCAAAGTTAAGGAGGTCTGTAGGATAATGCTGTTCTGTCCTTCCTGCATAACCTCAGGAATAGTTGATAGTTTATTGGACTGAGGAAAAGAGAAAAACACCTTAAGAGGTATTTTGCCCTTGGGCAGTCAGGAAGGGCTTTCTTATGTTGATTTGGCTACCTGACTGGGTGAAGTGTCAGCCACTGGGTGAAGGGAGCTGGAGGAGGAGAGAGCAGGGTTGAAAGATGGACCTCCGAGAGACTCGCAAGGAGAACTTGTGCTTGAGAGAACCTAGGCCCTCCATAACATAAATTTCTTCTATGGGATAAACTTCCTTGTAATAAACTGCAACAAAGATCATCCGGCCTGGCCCTCATCTCTTCCTCCGTCTGCCCTTGGCCAACAGCCGTCCCGATTTATGCCACACACAGTGGCTCTAGGGCACCAAACACGGGTGGTGAGATAGAGCCCTCCAGAGAGCCTGTGAACACACAACCTTCTGCATGCATAGTTTTTTACAGAGGTCTAGGGTGCAGCACTGGTTACCGCTTATCTGTATATCTGTGATGATACAGATCAGATAAATGCTGCTGCGGGGATTGCAGATATTTTGAGAACAACAGAGCTTCAGGGCTTAGTACAGGTAAGTCCATAGAAGGGTGATGCCATGAGACAAGGAGAAGGGGCTAATACAGTGATGCACTACTCAAAGATCGGAAAACCTGGTAAATGCATCATCAGGCTGTTTCACGTGTCCAATGTGGAAACCATACAATGTAAGCTCAGAAACTTAGATGGTACAGTCTAGCATACACCACGGCTATAAAATATAGCCCATTGGGACCACCATCACATATTCCGTCTGTTGTTAACTGCTGCATTGTTAGGGTTGAATGACTGGGTATTGATGACTTTCTGTGCTTCAGATGGTGGAGACCACCACACAAGAAACACAGTTCATCTGCATTCCTAAGAAAATACTCCTATGAATGTCACCAAACACTTCCCCAATTATATTTGATGGTCAATGTTCAGTCATTAAATAAGTTGACTCATAAACACTTTTTGATAAAATGATCTCTCTTCTCTTTTTAAAACTCATCTTCACTAATTTTCCATGGTTTTCTCAGCCTATTGCAGTTTTTCTTCTCTTCTTCCTCTTTCAGTTCCCTCTCTTCCTCCTTCTTTGTCCTCTCCACCTTGAATTCCTCATCTCCTTAATCAGAAATAGAGAACTGATTGACAGTTGACAGGGTCCAAGGTTATGAGAAGGGTGAAGGCAATTAAAAGCAATTAAAGGGATTTCAGTCATACAGTACTCCAAGAGCCATCCCTCCACCAGTGTACATATCCCAGTACTAGTGTCCCCATGTTCCCTCCCATCACCCCACCCCTGCCTGCCTCAATGTCAGGTGCTTCTCTCTCTCTCTGTCTCTCTCTTTTTCTTTCTCTCCTTCTCTCTCTGTCTCTGTCTGTCTGTCTGTCTGTCTCTCTCTCTCTCTCTCTCTCTCTTTTCCCTTTTGAGCATTGTGGTTTGCAATATTTATACTGAAAGTTATCAAGAATATCCCTTTACCTACTTTTAACACTCAGTTCTTGTCCAGTGTGATCATTCCCAATAACATCTTTAGGCACACACAAAATAGTTAACACTATTGTTAAAAACTGAGTTAATAATTAAAAAATTATCCATAAAAGTTATCTAAGTCCATGAGGCCTTATATATGTTATAAAGTATAAAAATTAGAACATTTTCATAAATTCGTTACCTTTCCATCTAGTTTGTGATTTGTTCTATTAGGTCCAACTTCATCTTTAAACATTTGATTTCGAATCTTTTCCAGAGTAGTTCGAATCTAGAAGGAAAAAAAAAAAGTTTTCTTCAGAGACGATGTCAGATACTTTTTTTCTTCATATCAGCTACAGGGCACTTGGTTTATTTAGAAAGTAATATACTGATCTCAGATTTAAATAGCTATCATCAATCTAAATTGCATTTAGGCTCATATCATTTAGATTTCAGACAAAAAGCATTGGGTTTATCTCTAAGTCAAATTTAACATATAACCTTAATCAATATAATACAAGGTAATTACTATTTAGCAATTAGTATCTGATACTATTTAGTTATTTTTCCTATATATAGTAATTTAGGACTAATTTACTACTCAGTAATTAGTAGAAAACAATTACCATTTAGTAATCACTATAAAATAATTACTATCTAGTCATTACCTCAGAATAATTACTAGAACACAGAATACAAATTTATGCATGAAATATAAGAGCCATGTCCTGGTGGTCTATAAAACTGCAAGACACTCAAGATCAACTAATGGATCTGAGCAAACTATAGTGTTCACATTTTCCCATATATTCTAAGAAAACAGTTTATCAGAATATAAACTTTCAGCAGCCATTAGCATCGTGGATTCTCATCAGATCACACATTTTGTTTTACAGTTGTCGTGGAGGCCACATTCAAGAGTTGACCTGATCTATGAACGCTATGCCATGGTGTTCAGGGCTAAGCATGCAATTGCAGAGACGGAATACGGCGTCTCACTCAAGCAAGGCATGTGTTTTACCACTTGAGCCACATTTCTGACCCTAGACTTGACATTTTTTAATGAAGTGACATGCCAACATGTGTGACTTGTGGGAGTGCCCTGCGCTGTGAGAAGGAGTGAGGCACTCAGCAGGAAACAGAAGATCTTCTAGGAAACACAGCATCAACACTCATGAAACAACTGGGAAATGAAATAAAACAGTGGGAAATTCAGTGGGGCATAGCATGAGACAAATTAAGTGCTGATAGGTGCTCTGGGCCCTCCTGGACCATTATTCAACTCTACTCCAAGGAAAAGAACGGAGTTCCATAGCCACAAGAGAAGTAACTAAACATGTGTTTGATTCTCCACTCCCAAGGTTTCATTTGGCTAAACTAGTATTATTTTTCCTCACACGTGCTATGGAAGGAGTGCAGAGGCCAACAAGCCTTTCTTGTACAAACTCAATTTTCTTGTACAAAAGCCTATTCTGTGAACAGGATTTCTGGCATTCACATACCTTTTTTACATATTCTGTTTCTTCAATAATGTGAGCTGATGTGGACTCATATAAGGAAGAACTGTCTTCTGTCCTACCACGCTGGGGAAGCTCTGTAGTCACCGTCACTGTTGTCATTGTGAACTCTAGCATAAAGGAACCACAGATCAGTTAGGAAGAACACCCTGAATTATATGGTTTGTAAACTAAATGTTCGGCATTAGCAATATTGCAAACTGAATGGTCAGTAATAGCATTATATTAGAATTTTTATATTTGTATCACGGTCACAGTCCTCCCGTTATTCATCGATTTGCTCGAGGAGGCCCAGTAACGTCTCCCTTGTGACAATTGTTACTGTATTTGGCATATCGAATACTTCACGGGGAGCTTGCCAGGCTCTGCCGTGCGGGCAAGATACTCTCAGTAGCTTGCCGGGCTCTCCAAGAGGGGCGGAGGAATCGAACTCGGGTTGGCCATGTTGGCTGTGTGCAAGGCAAACGCCCTACCGCTGTGCTATCGCTCCAGCCCTATATTTGTATACATTCATTAAATTCATTTCATGAATTTAATATGAAACAATAATTTAATATAAAACAACACAACTAAGGCCACCGTTGAGTAGAAACTTTAAAATAAATTTAACTCAAAAATGGTCTTCAAGGCCATGAAAGGGTTTACTGCTATAAATAGCAGTAAACTCAAATTAGCCACAAAATGAAGATGAGTTGAATAAAATCATCTACTATTTCTCTAAGGAGTGTTAGTCAATGAAAGAGCACAGCACAGAAACTTGTCATAGAGCTGGAAATAGGGACAGGCTCTGCCTGCCTGGCTTGCTGATGATTTTGAATTGAAGACAAGTGAAATAAATGGAGAGGGGAGAATGATGCTTTGCCCAATTTTTGTCTCCCTAAAAGCATGAACTAAATTGCTTCTACATTTTTCCTAGAGGTGCGAGACAAACCTTCACATCCCTGCCTATGACATTCAAGTTCTGTTTTCATGTGTAAATAAAACCTGAAAAAATTTCTTTCTAAATTGTATCTAAGCCTAAAAGAACGTTTGTCCTGTCTTTTGCCTTCCCTTCCTAAAAACCATATTAAATGACTACTTGACCCTAGCCAAGTCCATATATATAGAGAGTCCTGTGCACATAAAATTAATAAAATTAAATTTTATCTTGTGAATCTGAAAATTTATTTTTTTGTGCCATCCAAAAGAATTAAAGGAAGTAAGGAGGAGAACTGAAATTTTCTTCTACAGTATCATGATTTCTATTATAAGGGGAGAAATGTAAATAGAAAAAGAAATGTCCAACTTAAAATTGTTTACACGGGACATGCAATTATTTGATCTAACATAAAATAAAGTTAATTGATCCAAGTAAAATCACCAAAAATAAAAAGTAGTGAAATAAAAATTAATATATCTTTGATTATATTAATTTATATCAATATATATACCCACAGCGGGTAGGGTGTTTTTCTTGCCAACAGGTTGGCCCAGGTTTGATTCCTCCAGCCCTCTTGGAGAGCCCTGCAAGCTACCAAGTGTATCTCACCCTCACGGCAAAGCCCTGCAAGCTACCTGTGACGTATTCGATACGCCAAATACAGTAACAACAAGTCTCACAATGGAGACGTTACTGGGCCTGCTCGAGAAAATCGATGAACAGTGGGAGGACAGTGCTACAGTGCTATAGTATATCACATTACTGGAGTAGCCACATAAATTATTCGGTACTATAAAATAAATATCAGTGACTAATTATTTTAGATGGACTTTATCAAAAGAACAAAAAGAACCACATATTTGGTTCTTAAAATAGTTTGAGCTTAAAACAGTTTGTGGGGTTCTTTGCATTGCTATTTTGAAAATACTGCATTCGTTTAGCTATCATGCCACACACAAATGAGTGCATCACATAAAATAGTAAAGAAATTATTGTCTTCAATGGAGGCATCAAAGGAAGCTTCTTTTTTTTTTTTCCTTTCAGGCTTAGTGTGCCAGAAAATTTAAGCAATAAAAGTGATTTAAAAAAAAAAAAAAGCTATTGTCTTGATGTCATGAAAAATACTATTAGCAAAGGGGAAAAAGCACCTAAACCAGAACAAAAAATGTTATGCAAAACTCTTACAATACAAACTGAAATTCTGAGTATAATGATTTGATTTTAAGAATGTATTACCTAGGTTTACATGCATGGACATTTTTAGAAATAGGAGCAATAAATATTTGATGGGTAGCTTGCAATGTGATGTCTATGTGCTGTTTATTAGCAATAAAAAAGAAAAAAAAACAATGTTTCTTGGCTAGATTGGGTCTGGAACAAGAAACTTCTGAGGTGAAACTAAGGTACTGTGTCTAGGAAGTGAAAAAAAGTGATTAATACTACTTGACAAGAAGTCAACCTGAAGAAGAATGATGATAAAGACTGAAACATATATAAATGGTTCAAATTCCTGAAATTACGTTGACACAAGGAAGATCATTATCACCATCACCAACTCTCTTTATCTAACTCAATGGAGATGTCACCATTTTCCTAAAAATGATCGTCAAAAAAGGACATGAGAGGGAAACCAGGTAGTATCTGCCTGGCCTATACTGTATTAATCATAATGATATATATCTCATGGTAACCAAAAACTTGATGAAGGAAAATTTCCTATAGAATTCCTGTTATTAAATCCAAATGGACTGTTAACTTGAAAAATTTACATTTGTAACCTTTTTTAGAGTAATGGGTCTGAGCATCTGTCATCAGCCAGTGATAACTGTGCCAGGTGAGAGACTGATGAAGAATGCCTTAACCTGAGCTACCCTGCTCATCAAGTTCAGCATAACTAGAGGGAAACAGAAAATATGTCCTCTAAATGCTGCACAACTAGAAGTCAAATGCATCACCTATAACATATGCTGTTGAGAAAGTGAACCTGTATCAAATCAGGCCTCTGAATCCAACAATAGCAAATATGTGGGAATAAGGGAAACATCCAGTGACAACTATAATCAGCCCAGTCCACACAGTGTAAAATTTTTATCACAGTTTATTTTACCAAAGAATTCAATGAAGATGGAAGAAGAGAAGATTTGCCATGCATATGACCTGACTGATTCAGAAAAGCAGCAACATAAGGACACACTGGAGAAAACCAGGAAATTTGAATTCTTTATAAATATATCAAATAATCATTATAATTTTGATAGTGTGATCTCACATTTATCATACTCTTTAAAAAGAGCTTATCTCTTTTGAGATAATATAATACACACTTAAATATGCTTGGATAGTGTTTGCTTTGGCAGCACATATACTAAAATTGGAAGTGACCTGGGACTGCGGAAACAGGAGTTACTGCCAGGTGTGGCTCAAACAAACAAACAAAAATTTACTCTGGAGTTTCCTATAGGGAAAAGGGGGTTGTGGTAAGTGTAAACACTTAGCCAAATGTGGGGGATTGTTGAAGCTGGATAAGGGTCAACAGGTTCTTTGCACTCCTCCACTTTTGTTTCTGCTTGAGATGTCTGCAGCAAAGCATTTAAAATGAAACAGAAATCACAGAGAGATGAAACTGTTAATTTGATTTTGTTGAGAAGAAGATCATGACACCCATAAGTGATGCTAACTGGCCCAAGATCACAATACAATAATAGAGCTGAGAAATATAAAACCTTTTGTCTTTACCATACCAAGTTCAAGGCTGTTTCCATCATTTTAAGAGAAACACACACACATGCACGCACACACATGCACGCGCGCGTGCGCGCGCGCGCACACACACACACACACGATATGCATGCACGCACACACACCCCCCTCCAAACTAGTTAACATTTAACAGTGGTCTATACCGTCCAAACAGAGAAGAATTTTCATCTTTGCAAACATCCCTTTAAAATTAGCTAGCTTCCGGATCACCCCAAATCCTGCATTTATCCTTTAATCTTCAATGAAATTGATGGAATATGCCAAGAATTTTCTATTTTATTATAAATCCCTTTGACAGCCGCTCAGGCTTCTATTGGTTTCGGCTGAAGTTGACTTGGCAGCCACAACGGTGCGAATCTGCTTTTGCAGAAGGAGAGTAGAAGGACTTTCATCCTGTGGTCCTCTGATGTTTATCCAGGGTTAAGTCCCTGGTCTCAGATGCTGCTGAAAGAACACCTATAGAGGTACTAAATACTTGTCCATAATTAGAGCAATGAAGTCATCCTGGAGTTGTCCTCACCAAACCCCTGCCTGGGAGACCACTCTGCCTGCCCGCTGGCTTGAACAGCCCCCAAAAGTTTTTACTGATGTTTTGTATCATTAAAAGAAATCAAAAGAAGGATCACAATGTGATACATAGATAAAGTTCACGTTGAGTGCCCGTGAATGAAATTTTACTGTCACAACTAACACCGCTCACTTACATGTTGAAAGTATATCAGAGACAATAGATGGTAGGAGGCAATTGAAATATTCACTACCCTCCATGGGGAATTTTTTGGTCCCAGGTCAGGAAACAGCAGAGAGTGGGAGCAGGTGTGGTTGGAGAAGAAGCAGTGGCAAAACAAACTATGGGTCTGAGTGCTATTTTGTTCTCCAGTCAATCCCCTTGCTGATTGGTTAACCAACCCCCTGCTACCCACCCCCACTTTCTTCAGCTTTCTAGACCGTAATTTATGTAAAATAAGCAAATAAAAGGAGGTGCTTCATCACTGAAAAAAACCTGCACTTTGGAATGGATTCCACTACATTCTAAGTTTTTCATAAATTGAAAATTGCTCTGGGCCTCGAACTTTACATCCTACGACTCTTTATGTGCCTTTATGTGCTTCCTGCCCAATGTCAAGAAATTCTTGTAATCACTGATATTTATTGCTTGAAACATCCTCTCTGCTTCATTCACTGGTTGGGCTATCTTAAACAAATTACATGCATTATTTTTGGCATTGACTTCTGTATTTGTTTTAAAAAAAAAAGGTAAAATAAAAGGATAATAACACATAGAGTTGTAAAAAATGAGGGCTTTTTTTTCTCATCCATGCATTTGTTGAAAACACTCAATAAGCAGGACCAATGGTCAACATTCATGCTTCTATTATTTTATATTATGAATAACCTTAGGCGACAAGCTGCCCAGGTTTCAGAGTTTAT